GGGAGGGAAACGCCAGCGGCAGCAAGCGATCCATGCGGGTGATGGGGGAGAAACGCCGGCGGCAGCGAGGCATCCCATACGGAGAGCACAAGCTCTCCTTGCTTCCCGGCCAGTATATACTCTCCTCCCCTGCACTCAGGCTTCAGCTCCAGGCGGCATTCGCTCCATAAGACGCACAGACATTTCCCCCCATCTTTTGGGGGGGAAAAGTGCGTCTTATAGAGCGAAAAATATGGTACTTTTAATATTAGAATATTTTTTCCGTTTCTCCTCTTCCTTTCTCTATTAGCTTTTCCTTGCTAAAAAGGTTTAAATTCTTGCATTGTTCTGAGAATGAAATATGTGCTTCCTGAGTTTTGGGTGGGTTGTTTTTGTTTTTGCAGGTATGCATACAGCCCAAATACTGTATATGAAGCCCAGTTTTTGTGGTGTAATGTTATACAGTTAAAGAGCCTGTTTGCTGTAGTGGTTAAGGCATCAGGCTATAACTAGGAGACCATGAGTTCTAGTCCCACTTAAGGCATGAAGTCAGCTAGGCTTGGGCCAATCACTCTCTCAACCCTAGGAGGAGGCAATGGCAAACCACTTCGGAAAATCTTTGCCAAGTATCCAGTCTCCAAGAATTGCACGCAGAAGAAAAAAATATGTATACAGTAAACCTTAATTTAATGAACTACTATGGCAAGGGAGCATCTGTTAGTGCTATATGTCTATAAAGTGTAGGAGATGACCAGGCTGAGCCCAAGGGAGGGGTCAAACGCGTCATAAGTCAGAAGTACCTGTGCACCCACAAGAGATCTAAGTCCAGCCCACCTTGAATGCCTGTCATGGATCTGCCCCTGGACCCCTCTCCAGATGTGAGTTCAGAGGAGGGTGAGTTTGAGTCGGCAGAGGAAAGTGCAGAGCTGAGTGGTGGTCAGGATCGGGACTCAGAGAGTGCTAGCCTGATGGAGCAGCCTCAGCTGGATCGGTCAGATGAGTGACAGGCTGAGGCTGAGCAAGGCGAGCCACCGCTGCAGCAAGTTGGCCAGGAGGCTCCAGGGGAGGACTGGGAACAGCTGCTGCCTGTTAGCAATGAGGAGGTAGAGTCCACACCTCCTCCTAATCCAAGGACAGGTAGAGCAGAGAGGAGACAGGCATAATGCCAGTCAGCTAGACTACTTATAAGCAGGCAACATTGCCTCTCATGAAGGGCTGCACCAACATTGCCTACTTAAATCCAGCCCTGAGGACTTGACTGTTGCTGGAGCAACGTACCCAGTTCTGTGTCTTGTGTGCTCGTGCCGTGTATCCTGACCTGTTTGACTCATGGACAGCTTTTCTGGACTTCATGTGTGCCTGTTGGACTCAGTTACCTAGTGACTCTTGCCATGTTGAGCTTGGAATCCGGATCTATGCAACGAGGGTGCTTTCTTGAGGACCTGTTTGGAAGGTTTGAATAAACACCTGTAGACGCTTGCTGTACATGTGTGTGTGTGGGAGTGGGAGTGGGGCAGCACAATGCCTCTCTTATCTCCTGCTCATTTTTTTTACCATTGGTCAGATTCTTGTAGAGAGCTTAAGCTTGCAATAAATCTTTATACTCATTTGAACTGCCTGAATCTCCTGATTTCCCCTGGCACTTGACTTTAATCTGACCAACACCCTTCACCAAAATTTTTCTCGGGCTCCGGAATATTCTAACCATGACCTCAGATCCCAGAGCTGCAGCAATAGCAGTCGAGCCAGACCTCCATTCTATCAGCATATTCAGAGTTCTCTGACAAATCAACCCTGTGGCCTTCCACCTACAATTGCCCCCATCAATTAAGGTGAATCCAATATTTCACCAATCGCTACTTTCCAAAGAAGCTCCCCCAAGCACAATACGATCCCAGTGCCCCCCTCCACCGCCAGACATATTGGAGGGAGAACTGGAATATGATGTCGAAGAAATCCTAGACTCTAGGAAAAGAGGCAAAGGCATTCAGTATTTGATTCATTGGAAGGGCTAGCCAGTTTCTGATTGTTCCTGGGAGAATGCACAGTATGTACATGCCCCTGATTTAGTTTGTCAGTTCCACCAGTGCTTCCCTGACAAGCCAAGGCCGACCAAGCTACCAGCACCCCACCCAGTTTTGCCTGAGGAACCTGTTGAGGAAGAGGTTAACCAAACCCTCTGCATTCCTCTGGGGGAAGGAGGGTGACTCACCTATGATGGGCCTTCCGCATCTGGCCTTCAATTTGCAGGAAGGGAAGGGGAGGGAACCTCTAATAATATTTGTGTGTTACAGGAACCACCACCTGGCTCACCAACTCATGCAGAGGAGTGGGAGGAGGATTCCTTTGAGACAGCTTCCCTTCCGCCCTTGCCAAGTTCCCATAATAAACCAGATTTTGAAGACACAATGCTAGAAGGGGAAAAGCAGCATAGAAGAACCCATGGAAGAGGAGGGCAGCCAAGATGGAGGGATGGATGATGTAGGAGATGACCAGGCTGAGCCCGAGGGAGGCGTCAAATGCATCATAAGTCACGAGTCCCTGCGCACCCACAAGCGATCTAAGTCCAGCCCACCTTGAATTCCTTTCTTAACTCCTGCTCATTTCCCTTGACCATTAGTTGGTCAGATTCTGGTAGAGAGCTTAAGCTTGCAATAAATCTTTATACTCATTTGAACTGCCTGGATCTCCTGATTTCCCTGGCGCTTGACAATAAGTGGCAAATGGTGTTTTGTGCATGCAAAACATATATTTAAAATGTGCTTAAAAATTATGAAGATTGTCTAGGCGTATTCATTTGGGATGTTGTTACTGACTAAACTGCAGTTTTTCTCGATTGAATTGAGGTTTGTAAAATTGAGGATTAACAGTATTCCTTTTTTAATTCCACAATTTTTTTTGAAGACAGAAGACTAAATTAATTCTTAGCACATCATATGTGAGATAATTTTAGATAAGTAAGATAATAGCAGAGTTGGAAGGGACCTTGGAGGTCTTCTGGACTAACCTCCTGCTCAAGCAGGAAACCCTATAACAATTCAGACAAATGGTTGTCCAATCTCTTCTTAAAAACTTCCAGTGTTGGAGCACCCATAACTTCTGGAGGCAAGCTGTTTCACTGCTGCTAGCTACCTAGGGTCACTTGTTTGAGATGGGTGGCCATATAAATTGAAGAAATGAGTGAATGAATGAGTAAATATTATGCTGTCTTGAAAACCATGATGAACATGATAGATAAATAAATGTGCTATGTATCATTATTGATTTTAACCCTATTTTAATACCAAGAACTCAAAAACATTATACCCAATTTTTGAAATGGCTGAAATATGGCATTTTCAATACCGTTAGATAAATCTGCCCAGAAATGGTAGTAGCAAGTGTCATGATGATGTTGATTGTCTAAAACCTAGAACTGAGGTTATGGATAAATTCTGAATCCGAGACATTGTAATTTTTTTAATGCTACATCTGTTCTGAAAGTGCAAGGTTATCACAGCAAAGTTGATGCTTTCTCTGATGGATGTGAGGGAAAAAGCCAAGGCATATGCTTTCATACCATAGGAGAAAAAGCATTGATTTGCTCATGCTATTTTTTTTTTCTTTGAACCCTACAGGGCTTTTTTCGTCGCAGTATCCAGAAGAACATGCTGTATACTTGTCACCAGGAAAGAAACTGTATAATAAACAAAGTGACCCGGAACCGCTGTCAGTACTGCCGCCTACAGAAGTGCTTTGAAGTTGGCATGTCCAAAGAATGTGAGTGACTGGTGAAGAGAAGAAAGACGAAGGACAATGGGCTGGCTAAGTTGCTGGCCACCAATATCTTGTTACTATAGCAAATCTCAAATGTCCATCCATATTTGAAACTCACAAGAAGCAATTTGGGAGACCCAGACTTAAATCTTGGTTGTCCATGGAAGATTAGAAGCCAGCCTTTGCTTAAATCATAAACTTTGTGTGATATAAATATCTTAAGGCATTTTCAAATTAGAGTTCAAATCAAAGTGCTGTATAAAATCCCCAGCTGTACAAAATTCTGAAGGTGAGAATGACAATGGTCCTAGAAGGGAAGAGGGTGAAGAACTGACAGACAGAAAGGGAGAAGCTAAAGTAGGTTAGAAAAGTAACAAAGATGAGCCAATTGCTGGTTCTAGTGTATAGAGAGAGCAAAAAGTCAGATGAAAGAGACAGGTCATCTAATTGTATGAAAAAAAAACCAGATTTCTTATTATTATAGAGATAACATGTATTCAGTTTACAGTCTTGCAGCAAAAATTACTTCCATCTGATAATATCTGTAGGAATTAGACCCCAATTCCCATAATTCCCAAGTAGCAACTCCAGATTAAAGGAATGGTCCCAATAAAACCAAAGAGCGCCATCTAGGAAAAAGACTGATTTGCAGGTTCTAAATTTTTTTAAACAAGATTGTATGTTAGGTGGAGGAATTGGATGACTCTTTCCCTGTGTGACTGATACTTAACTGAACTACCCTTCAGATAGGGGTATTAACATATACTGTCAAAGAAAATTCCTTTCCTATCTAAAAGAAAAAGAAATCTGGGGATTTTTCTAGTTTTCCCCCAAAGACCTGGTGCATGGGACTTACCCCTATACCAGACATGTCAAACTCGCGACGTCACATGACATCGCGCAACGTATCGGGACGGTTTTGCCATTGCCGGCAATGGGGTGGACGTAGCTTCCGGATGATGTGTCCGGCCCGCAGGCTGGCAGTTTGACACCACTGCTCTATACTTTGTTCTAATTTTGTGGGTGTTTCCCCAGCAACCATGATTATGTCAGAGATAAATGACACAGACAGGCCCTCCTGGCGTCTGCAGTGCCTAGTTATCATGGCTCCTGACTGTAATGGGGTGGGAGATGGAGCCCCATTTGGCAACTTCAAGGGTTGGATTGATAAATTCTTCGAATGAAATGTCTAAAAGTGTGGAGAATCATTGGTTAATTTGGGGCATCCGAGATCCTGCTCTCGTTTTTCCCTGTTCTTCCAAAAGAGAGAAGAGGATAATAATAATAATAATAATAATAATAATAATAATAATAATAATAATAATAATAATAATAATAATAATAATAGTAAAGTTGGAAGGGACCTTGAAGGTCATCTAGTCCAACCCCCTGCTCAGGCAGGAAACCCTATACCATTTCGGACAAATGGCTGTCCAGTCTCTTCTTAAAAACTTCCAGTGTTGGAGCATTCA